GGATAGGCTATGAGGTAAGAGTCAAGAAAACTGATAGAGGGGCTGGAGAGATGGCTCAGTTAAGAGCACTGGCTGCTCTTCCAAAGGTCCTGAGTTCAATTCCCAGCAACCATATGATGGCTCACAGACATCAGTAATGAGATCTGGCGCCCTCTTCTGGTCTGCAGGGACACAGGCAGACAGAACACTGTATACATAATAAATAAATAAATCTTAAAAAAAAGAAAAAGAAAACTGATAGAGCAGCTCCCTAGAAAAGCCTTGAAAATTCTGACCTCACGCAGGGTCCGAGATGGGCAGAGGCAGAGAAGAGCCTGCGATTCTAGCTGCTCCAGAGGCAGAGGCAATCTTATGGTGCGTGGGCAATTTAGCTAAACCCTGTGTAGGGGGGTGGGGGCATACTTGTTGGACCCCTGGCATTCATTTCAGTGATGGGGATTTGTTCCTGTAGTTCTATCCCCTCTGACAGGAAACTTGCTGGTCACGGAGACCAAAAATAACCGGAGAGGAAGGGTGGCTGCCAGATCATCCAGAGTTCCTCAGTACCACCTACCTTTCCTCCGTGGTGCTGGAGCTTTCCCTTTGCCTTCTAGTAATGGCCATTTCCTAACCAGTTTTGATCTCATACTGAACTACACAAGAGACAAGCCATAATCCTGGTCACTGGAGCAGTCAGCCTCGTTCCTCTAGCCAGGCCCCTAGCAAGCACTCCCTCACCTCATGACAACAATGACTTGGGCTTTTCTGTCCCTTTATTAAATCTCAGGCTCCCCAGGACTGAACTTGCAACCTTGGGTTCAGAATTCATACCTAGGCCAGTCTCAGGCCTGTGGGGAAAGAGGCAAACCATGGGGATGGGATAAGGAGCTATGCTTTTTGTTTGTTTGTTTGTTTGTTTTTCCAGACAGGGTTCCTCTGAAGTCTGTCCTGGGCTTGCTCTGTAGACCAGGCTGGCCTCAATCTCACAGAGACCTGCCTGCCTCTGCCTCCCGAGTGCTGGGATTAAAGGCATGTGCCACCACCTATGCTTTTTTAAGAATTCATGCTTTCAGGGGTGGAGAGATGGCTCAGCAGTTAAGAGCACTTGCTGTTCTTTCAGAGCAGCGGGTTCAGTTCTTGCCTGCACCTACAGTGGTCAATACAATGGCCTGTAACTCCTGTGCCAGGGCATCTGACATTCTCTTCTGGCCTCTACAGGCACCATACCAATGTGGGTCACTTACATTCATGGAGCAAAACACTCATACACATAAAAATAGATATATACACCAAGTTTGATTGCACAGGCCTGTTTGCATCCTCAGCTATTTAAGGGACTGAGGTAAGAGGATGGCAAGCTCAAGGTTTGCCTGGACTACAGAGTGAGATAAAGACCAGCCTGAGTGACATAAGACTGTCTCAAAAACCCAAGGAGGGGCTAGAGAGACGGCTTAGCAGGTAAAGGACTTGCTTTGAGACCCTCATGACCTGAGTTCAATCCCTAGAATCCACAGAAACATGGAGAGAACTGACTCCACAAAGTCATCCGCTAATTGTCACATGTATGTATGCACACAAAACATCATATACACATACACTATAATAAATTAATTACATTTATGAAACTAATAGTCCCCTCCCTAAACCCAAGGTTTTTTTTTTTTGGCTTAACAGGTAGAAGTCCCCAGGCACCAAGAAAAACCAAACCATATTAAGTTTTTCAATTGCATATATGGAAAAATAAAATAATTATACCAAAATGCTATGGGTCTGTAGTCTTGTTGCAAGTAGAATCATAAGTAGGGATATGCCAATGGTATAGGAAATAGTTGAATCCCAGGAGTCAAGAGTCCTGTCTTGAGATCTCTAGATTCAGGGCACAGTCCCAATCTTGACTTTACTACTTATTACTTGGTCAATAAATCTTCCTCACCTGTAAACTGCAGAGAATACTCCCTGCTTTTGAGGGCCTCCAGGGGGCTAAATTAGTCTGGGCACTAAAATGCTTTATTTAGAACCTGGCATTTAATAGTAGCTGGTCTTATTTTTAATAGGGGACAAGCTGGAATGGAAGGTGACAGAAACTTTTGCTTAGTATTTTGCTACTTTTTTTTGTTTTTTAAATATAATGTAGGTTATGGACTTATTTAAAAAAATGAAGAAATCCAGGCAATCACTAAAATAGATTATCAGGGAGAACACTAGGCTGAAGAAGGAACACGGCCACAGCCTGTAGTCATTGGGGTGCTTCTGAGGTCACATTCATCTTTGTCACAGTTGAGCAAAGTCCAGAGGGAGGTAAGCTTAGAATTAGTGACTTCTGGCCTTGGGCTAGAACACACCTGTGCACCCTGCACACATGGGTCACGGGAAAAGACACATGTGTTGGACATTAGATCAATTCCAAGACACCAGGGCTGGGCGGTGGAGCAGGCACGTTGGCACTTACGTACTCCGCCTTCTCCTAGCTGCTCTAGCTCACCTCTGTTGTTCTTATGGCACCCAAGCCCTGCCCATTTTCTTTGGTGATGGCTGTGTGTGTGATGGACGAGTGGGTGGGTCGAAAGTTAAGAACTTGTGCTTGCACAGATGCATTTCCCAAATCCTTGGTGCTTTCCTACTTTCTCCCTGTGCCTCCACACCTCAGTCAGGAAGTGACTTCAGACCAGCAGGATGCAGGTGGCTCCGGATAAGCTCCATGAAGTCACTGGTTCCTACACAATGAGCCGGAAGGCTAGGGCAGGGAAGGGAGAATAAGGACCATTGAAGAGGACTAGTGGGATGGAAGAGTGAAATGAACAGAATCCAAGTTGTTATATTTTGGAGCCACTTTCCAAGTCCCCACGTGTCCCCTCCCCCCAACAAACAGAAGCCTAGGACACACAGAGAGGGCGAGAGAGGCTTCTTTATTCCAAGGATCTAACATCGTCTCACCCAGCACTTCCCACATACCCATCTTCTAGACAGAAACCACAATACCTTTTCAGTCTCTCCTCTGCTCCCCCTCTTCAATTTTCCATTCAGGTGACAGGGGAGTAAAAGGGAAAGTGGAAGAAAGGGTTTCTCACCAGTCCCCAGCTGACGGCCTTAATTCTGGAAGCTCTGCCTTACAAATTCAAACCTTCATACCCAAGTCCTATCATCAAATAGGTCCCAGGGCAGCAAATAGGTACCAGGACTATAAATCAAGGCTCCCAAATATCATCTAACATTCCAGACACTCCATCTAACCAGGGAACTCCATCCATAACATTTTTATCAACGTGGCCTACACCAAAAACTGCAGCCCTCAGCTAACCTCACACACTATCTGGCGACTGTTCACATAGAAAGGGGCATTTGGCCAATCCAGCAACCAGTCTTTTAAAGCCTTGAAGCTTGTGACTCCAGCAACAATCCCCAATGACAACAAATCCAGCATGGAATTCAGCCCCCTTCATCTTCCCATGTAAAGTCCAAGTATATTCACTGGTCGAAGACAGGAATGTAGTGGGGGAAGGAAGACTGAGTCACAGACCCAGATACTCATGTAAGAAAATTACCAAGCACCCATGAAAGATGAAAGTTCTGGAATCTGGACACTTTCCAGAAGCTGTCCAAAACCAAAACAAAACAAAAAACACATTTGAAGACAAAGGGTATATATACTAAACCCCAAGGAACATTCAAATCCAGCTGCTCATGCAGTAAAGAATGGGTCAGACTCGTAGTCAAGGTAAGGAATGTCATTAATTCTCCCCAGGTCAAAACATTCTTAGAAACTGGACAGATAAGAACAGGGCCTATAATCTCTGGTACAAATCTTCAGCTCTCCATGGACATACTAACTCAGCCCCAGTGGGAGGATCACGGGCTCAGCTTAGAGGCTTCACAGGTTCTGTCTGAGAGATGAACACAGTACATTCAAACACAGGTGGGTAGATCAATGGGACAGTTTAGATGCTATGCCTTTTGCAGGAAAGACTAACCCACCTCCATTTAGAATGATGAGGAATCCAGTCCCCATTTCACCAGCCTGCAGGAGGAATTTATTATTTACATTTTGTGTTCATCAAAAAGTCCCCATCAGCCACAGAGAGCTGCAAAGTTTCTTTCCATGTCTAGCCTGCTGCAGGACTTGCACCATCCAGAATACCAGAGAGGATTCCTTACCTAACCTTACAGGTTCTCAGGGTTTGCCCTAGGAAAACTAAAGGTCGCAGTCCTAGAATTGAAGGGACAAACCAACAAGCAAACAAACAGAAAAAGGACGATTCCAGAGAGAAAAGTTACAACAAAAACAATGTGCAATGCTCAAGCCAAGGGAGACAGCCAAGTGCTAAGAAGCTCTGCCAGCAGAGCAGTGCCCTCACCTACGTTTCGGGTCACTTTTGATCACACTTGTGGAAGAGGAAAGTCGGCAATGCAAACAGAACGAAGACCCTGGTGCCACCCATAGGCCTTAATAAATTATATTTACAGATAAACCATTTGAAATGGGGGGGGGGTAGGGGCAGTTCCTTGAAGAAGTTAAGTGCCTTGTGTCTCTCCTTTTCCCCAGCCACTAGTTACCCAATCTGGATTATAAGGAAGAGGTTTTGACCAGCAAAACAGAGGCAGATCTAGCCAGGATCTGCCACCCCTGCTCTCCCCAGTAGGAAATTAAGGTGACAGAAGGTTCTGATACCAGAGTGGCCTATCACACTCCTGTATCAAGACCTTCAGGGAAGCCAAGCCTGGGCCTGCAGCTTTTGCTGCCCCCAAGGAGCAAGTGTGGTTCGGGTGGGGGACTCCGCTATGGGCTCCCCAGGATGTGGTAGCGCACTTTAGTGTTGGTAGCAGCCCCGTGTTTCTGACGCAGGTGCAGCCGTAGTTGACTCTTGTGCCGAAAATGCAGGCCGCAGGGGTCGCACTGTAGGAGGACAGGTCTGTTAGGTCCCTGCCCTTCCACAGCCATCTTTTAGTTGGGAAGTAAAGGAAAATTGT